AGTCACACGTGGGCACTGGACACTGAATCCAGGTCCTCTGCAAAAGTGGCAAGTACTCAACCAAAGAGCCACCTTTACCAAGCCCTGGTCCCAGTTTCTTGCATTCTACTATCCTTTTATTATTGTTGTTGTTTGTTTTGTTTTGTTTTTCTGGGTTTTTTTTGTTTGTTTTTTGAAACAGGGTTTCTCTGTAGCTTTGGAGGCTGTCCTGGACCTAGCTCTTGTAGACCAGGCTGGCCTCAAACTCACAGAGATCCGCCTGCCTCTGCCTCCCGAGTGCTGGGATTAAAGGCGTGTGCCACCACCGCCCAGCTCGAGTCCCTGTTTCTTTTTTTTTTTTTTTTTTTTTTTTGGTTTTTTTGAGACAGGGTTTCTCTGTGGTTTTGAAGCCTGTCCTGGAACTAGCTCTTGTAGACCAGGCTGGTCTCGAACTCACAGAGATCCGCCTGCCTCTGCCTCCCAAGTGCTGGGATTAAAGGCGTGCGCCACCACCGCCCGGCGAGTCCCTGTTTCTTGAACAGAACTGAGTCTGTCTCTTTTGGGAAGCAGAAGAACTAAAACCCAGTGGGAGCTCTGCAGACCTGGGCTTCGCAGTTTACAGCTTCAGACTTTGCAGACAGGACCAAGAGGGGCCCACTGGCAGGATTATGGCCCCTTGAGCTACAGGAGACTGCCCAGGGGAGACTGGCTTCTCTTAACAGGAATCCCTGGCTGATGAGAGAAGGGCTATTTCCAAACCACAGATGACAAGGGTTTCCCGACTCCTCTTTATTCCTTTCTCCGTGCCCTGCTCTGCTGCTCGCATTCACCTGCTGGTCAGTTAAGTTTCCCTGTCCGACTTTTGTGCAGAGAGGGCCTTGAAGCTGAGGTGGAAGGTGGTGGCAGGGAGCTGGCCCGCCCTCTGCTCTCCTGCACCTGCCTCTTCAGCTCCAGGCTGTCATACACCTGGTAGCTGGCATTGCCACCTGGATTCCGACTGAGCGGAACAAAGGTGGTTGGAGGTGGGGCTGGATCGGAAGCCTGCACTTCAGGCAAGGGCTGGGAGGAGTGAGGCATCATCAAGCCCGACCCGGCAGCTGGAGCCCTTTGGTATGAAGCCTCGCCCAATACTGTGAGGGAGGTGGAAGTGGTCAGCGGATGCCTCGAGGGGAAAACCTCAGTCCAGTCAGCTGCCCGCCTGCGGACCTCATGAGATTCCCTGGAGCTGTAACCCATGTGTCCTAAGGACTGCGGTGGGCTGTAGGTGGGTTGGCTGTGAGTATAGCTAGGGAAGTTCTGCCGGTGGGCCTGTGGGGAGTTGTGCTCCCGGTACCCCTGGGCCTCTGGCCTGGGGTTCCTGCATGCAAAGGCCGGTGGTGCCTCAGAGCCTTCTACCCTACGCCGTCGCTGATCCCACGCATCAGGCGGTATGTGGCCCCTTGAAGGGAAAGGGCTGTAGCCCACAGTGACCCAGGAGGGGCTAGGAAGCAGCCGGCGGGCAGGTGGTGGCGAGGAGGCCCACTGCTCAGCTTCCACGTTACCCCAAATCCGGGACTGTGAGTAACGGGGACCGAAAGCCTGTAGCCTCAGTTCTGACTTGGCCTCTACCCGCTTGGGCAAGCGGCGCAGCTCCGGTGACAGGTAGAGAGAGGGTAGCGGGAGGCTGGCCAGGATTCCGCCCTGGCGGCCCCACAGTCCCACATTGGAGGCCCGACCTATTGGCTTATAAAAACCTCGCCAGCCCCTGTGCGGGTGTTTGGGATGCGGACAGGACTGGTCATCCTCCGGAAGGGAATCCCGGTCTTCCAGGTCAAAAAAGGGCAGTGGCCTCGGCTGTGACGGCTTATGGCTTTGAGGTTGTTTACGGAAGGGTGGGCAGCCACGGGCGAGCTGCCTGTTGTTTGGAAACCTCTGCTGGTGGCTGTGGCGGCCCTGTGGGTAGCGGTTGTGGCTGCCCTGCTGGTGACGGCGACTGCGGCAGCGCCGCCGGCGCCTGCTGCTATAGCGCTGACGGAGATAGTGGTAGGAGGAAGAGGAGCAGTGTGTGGGTTGTGCCATCTTCACTTGTACAGGGTCCAGAACACAATGGATGTGGACGTCCTGGACGTTGGCTGGGGGCTCTGTGGGTGCACATTCGGTAGCCTGGACTTCATCTGCTACAGACAAGAGCCAAAAAGTTCAGGGTTAAGAACAGTGGGCCTGATTTTTTAGGATCTGAGTGTGTGTGGCTCTGTGGTCTAGCACACTTACTTCTCTTACACATCCAACAGATCATCTTGTCTAAGGCATTCTGGATCCCATGCCACACCTGGGGTTGGTGGGGAGATGGGAATGAAGACCGGCTTTCTAATACCGTCTCCATTCCTAACAAGCCCCCCCCATTTCTGCAAGCGAAGCCAGCTTTCTTCATCCCTATGGGTGAGCCCCAGTAATCACTGACCACAGTTGTCACGTTGATGCTGATGTTGACAAGAATGATGAGACCCAGCAGCAGGAATAGGATGTCCTCAGCATCCTGGGAGCTTTCTTGGTATTGATTGCAGCACCCCAACGTGCCCTGCCACAGTTGGTTTTCCATGGTGGGGGGGTCCGAAGGCCACCTGGGCCACCACCCCCCCCACCCAGCCCAACCCACACTGTATTCATGCCAGTACCGAGAGATGCTTACTATCTGGGAGAGGGAGCCAGGTCATAATGAGGCAGGTTAGAGTCATAATGGAGAGACAGAAGCTCTTTTATTCATTGGTCTGACTCCATACACGACAATGCTTATCCTTGCCCTCCGTCTGATAGAACAGGACCCTGCTGCACTTGAGGTCAGACTGCTCCGCCTCCACTCTTCACCCCACATCTGGCTTCTGATCAGAAAGTATGGTAGCTACTACAGTCATGAGACAGTCTTCACAGGGCCAAGATATCCATGTCTCTTCTGAGACATGGCAGCATACGTAGCCTGTTGATATGTCTCAGTTCATGCCTGGGTTGAGAGGGCTGTCAGTCCTGGTTGCTGGAGTGGCTGAGGCAAGGTCTAGTTCCAGGCCATCCTGGAACTCGTGATACTATCTCGATCACACACACACACACACACACACACACACACACACACGTTAGTGAAGTACTTCCAGACATGTTTACTCAGCTCTAGAAAAACATTAAACAGTTCACAAAGTTAACAAAGCATAAGATAGATGTAACTGTTGATATGAGGAGCAGTCTTTCATGTAAGCTAGGTTAACAGTCATTTATCTATGAAAGTAGCACCCTGACTGCAAGTGCGGGGGTTTTTGTTTGTTTTAATGATAAAATCTAGCAAGAGATAGAGAGATGGCTCAGCAGTTCAGCGGGCATACTGCTCTCGCAGAGGACCCAAGTTCAGTTCCCGCTATCCAGGTTGGGTGGCTCACAAGTACTTAGAACTTTGGTTCCAGAGGATCGAACACCCTCTTCTGGACTACACTGGCAACTGCACTCAAGTGCCACACACCTGCCCTCATATAGACATCTAATTAAAAAAAAAGAGGGCCAGGTATGGCGTGGCACATGCCATTAACTCTAGCACTCCAGAGGCAGAGACAGGGCAGATTCTTTAAGTTCTAGACCAACCATGACCTTCCAGTGACTTCCAGGCCAGCCAAGGACCCCTGTCTCAAAAAGATAAAATAGGGTCTTATGTAATCCTCCCTGGCCTGGAACTTGTAAGAAGCATCCTGCCTTGGCCTCCAGAGTGCTGGGATTACAGACACGCACCATCTACACCCTGCCAACAAATCATTTTCTGTGTTGTTTTGAGATAGGGTCCAGGGTCGTGTGTAAGCAAGGGTGACCTTGGCAATCTACGTAGTTAAGGACATTCTTGAACTCCTTGATATTCCTGCTTCCATCTGCCAAGAATGTTTTATACAGCAAACTATTCAGCAGAAATGGAGGAAAGGTGTTTTCTACGGTCTCCGAATACACAGCACTTGCTTACTGTGTCCCCACAGAATAAAATTAACTGGAAATAATCAATACCATTTTGCTTGGAGTTTTTTTGTTTTGCTGATATGGCATCTTGCTATTGTAGCCCCATCTAGCCTACACCTGGGTATGTAAACCTGTCTAGTTTTTTTTTTAATTTATTTATTTATTAAAGATTTCTGTCTCCTCCCCGCCACCGCCTCCCATTTCCCTCCCCCTTCTTGGACTTCCCACAGGTCAGGGAACCCTGATTGCCCTTCGAGCTGATGAGGGAGGTAAACCTGTCTAGTTTTGAACTTGCAGTTATCCTCCTGCCTCAGCCTCCTGAGAACCGGGATTACAGCCTTGTGCTATCACTGAACTTCAGTAGCTCCAGTTGGATGCAAACAGAAAAACAGGGTGACTCACAGAAAATATGCTCCCATTCCAGGATGTCCATCCCCTCCAGCCTGGGCTCGCATGGTTTCTTGCTCCCAAGATTGTGTCCACATGCATAGGAGAATCTCAGCCATCTGGGAGCAGGGCAGGGTTCATTTTCTCTTTGGTCCAGTGGATGGAATATTCAGAAGTGGTCACATGGTAAAATGTAGGCTGATTCATTTGCAATGGGAATTTATCCATCAGCAGGAATGGGGAAGGTGGGATAGAAAACCCTAAGTATCTGTGGCCACAAGCAGGTTTCTTGGTGACTTGAGCCCCCATCTTTACTTGTGACATGGAGAGGCATAAAACCACAGAAGGCTAAGAGATGAGATGGTGTCTCTTGAGAGTATCCCTGTCATTTTACCCCCTGCTTCTAAATCTATTCTCAAGGGTTGCAGGATCTTCAGGTTCTGCCTGGGAGGTTGTAAGAACCTAGAAACCCTCCCTTGCCCAAGGAAACTAGAGCATTGGAGGGACCCCTGCTTCTGCTGGATCTGTAGCCTAAACCTGGGCTCCCTAGACCTCAGCTAGGGCCATGGGATCTGAGGCCTTTCCTCTAGTTCAGAACTGCCTTTGGATCTGGCTGGATTTGGTGGCTTCTCTGGGCACTAAAGAAAACAGGGCAGAGGCCAGTTGGGAGCCTTGGCGTCAAGAAGGCCCTTGAGAAGGGCTCAGGTCAGGGCCTATGAAGGCAAGAAGTTGAGAAGGGTTCCCAGGGCTCTTTAGGCTATTTCAAGGGAGGTCATTCTCTTAGCAACCAGGGATTCTGAGCACTGTGAAGACCCGCTCCTCAGACCACCATAAACCACCTCTTCTCTCCTTTTTATTTTCCCCCCAGTCATCTTCCCTTCAGGGAACGATACACCCAATCCTGGCTTGTCCCCTCAGCTGTGCTGGACCCAGAAACCAAGGGGTAACAATGAGACAAAGCCTCCACCTCCCGGGTCAGTTCTCGGAGCCGGCGCCTCACATCTCGGGCATCATACACTATTCGGCCCGAAGAATGGCGCTGGGGTATCTCAGGGATGTTCGCTGGACCCAGGAAGGGTTGTGAGGGAGGCTGACATTGTCCTTGTTCACCCTCGGCACCTGTCCCCAGCCCCACCCCATTGTTTTTATGGCTCAGTGCCTCTGGGTTGGGAGGTGGGGGGTTCACAGTATACACATAGGCCTCTAGGCCCTGCTCTGATTGCATCTCTCTTTTGAGAGGCCTTCCCTCTACTGGTGCCTGGAAGCGGATGGTCTGGGGAGACTGCTCTAGACCATCCTGAGTCCAAGGATCCCAGATCTCCTGCACGGGTTGGAAACCTTCCCAGTCCTTAGGACCATCCCAGTGGTGGGAGCAGATTTCCTGGTGCTGATGCAGAGGCTTCTCATCGTCAGCGTCAGGGACCCAAGGTGCTGGGCGGCGGGCGCGGCGAGATGGAGAGGCCCTACGGCGGTGACGACGAGTTGGTGGCGGGGTCACTGTCATTTTCACAGGGTCCATAGTACATCGAAGATGGACTTCAGAGCAGGGCTGCTTCCTTGAGGGCTGGGTCTGCCTCCCAGGTGAGGATAATTTAGTAGTTTCTGTGAATTGGGGAAAGGTGAGGCTGTTGGAGAGGCTGGCTTCTACAGGGAGGGAGGGTGGGGCTTTGAGAGAGAAGCCGCCCTTCAGTCATAAGAAGCCACTGAGGGTCAGGTGGGAGAGAAGCCTGGTTTCTGCTGCTCAGAGGCCCCAAACCCAGCTGTCCTTACCTTTCTCACAAATGATATGGAACATTTGGTGTAGGATGATGCGAAGACGGCCCCAGAGCTAGGTATAGGAGGACATGGTGACCACGAGTAGATTCTTGTAACCAGGCCTGCCTCCCATCCACCCCCATTCACACCCTCCACCCCTGACCAGGGTCACCAGGTTGATGCCGATGTTGATACAGATGATGAGACCCAGCAGCAGGAGGATGGAATTTCCCATGTCCTGGCAGTTGTTGGTGTTGGGGTTTTGATATGAGGCCCACTCAGGCCGCGGCCTCTCAGCCATGGCCATGGCGGTCCCTAGGGCCACCAGGGCCCTTAGGACCCCAATCTACTAACCCTAGTGCCCACTGGCCTGCCAGCCTGACCCTGAGAGTGACCGGGTCACAATGATGCTGAGGCTTTCCCTCACAATGTGCCAAGATGCTACTCAAGGCGCTAGGCCCAGCGCTGGCTCTCCGACCTTAGCCCAGGCCTTGGCAGGGCAAACAGTTTCTTGCATGCCTTGCTGGCTCTCCAGTCCATTAGCATCTGCTCTCCTCAGCTCCTGTTCCTGCTAAGGTGACACCAGGCTCTTAGACCCCACCGACAGCTTCTGTTCCTGGCCTCCACAGAGCCAGGAGTGACCTGAAATCCGGATCCTCCTGTCTCTTCCTCTCAAATACTGGGATCACAGTGCGCACCAAGTCTAGCATCTTTTTTTTTTTTTTTTTTTTTTTTGCTTTTTGAGGCAGAGTTTCTCTGTAGTTTGGGAGCCTGTCCTGGAACTTTGCTCTGTAGACCAGGCTGGCCTTGAACTCAGAGATCCGCCTGCCTAGGCCCCCAAGTCCTGGGATTAAAGGTGTGCGCCACCACCACCACTGCATGTAGTTAAGGCTGGTCAGTTTGTGGTACTCTACAGCAGCCTCCTGGATGCTACAATGCAGGTGTCTAGCTATTTGCCCATCCTGCTCCTTACCTTAGCCATCCAATCCAGTCATTATGGCAACCTCTCTTGCTATTTCCCCTCAGATCTTGAGTTTCCTGAAAAAGGTTGAGTACTTCTTCCCAGCACCTAACATGACAGACACAACCAGGGCTGGGTACCCTCTCCAGCACCTTCTAATGTCACAGCAGACACACCAACAGTTAAACTTTTATATTTACAATATTCTCTTCATCTTTTGCCAGGTTTAAAAATGTGTACAGAGCCGCAAAGGGTTGGGGTGGGGACATGGGATTGTTTGGGAAGGGGCTGGGCATTGGAGTCCGTGGCTGTATCATGGGGTCCCCCAGCCCCCTCCCCACACCCCAGCTCTGGGGCGTCCGCTTACAGGGCTCAGGGCCCAGGTTGATAGCATTTGGAAGGCATGGCTGTTCCAAGAATTGCTAGACCAGGCAGGGAAAGGGCCAGAAAAGAACTACATTTCCATGGGCGGAAGTGGGGAAAAGGGCAGGGGACTCAAGACCAAGGATTCTGGGTGTCAGTGGAAGACAGCACCCTACCCCTATACAAGTTTGGCACTAACATCCCACGGAAAGCCACACAATACAAGAGGATTCAGTCACACCTCACCCGTGTCCCTTAAACCTTTCCTGCCGTTCTTTTCCCCAGAGGTACAAATCTAAAGACCTCTGGGCAGCTGCCTCCCACATCTCCTTTTGAAATACTCCTGCTGGTTTCTGCCCAAGCCCTGTCCCCCACGGCCCCCTCCATCTGTTCCTCGGTACAGCTGACCTCATTCTCCCCAACCTGTCCATGTAACCCTTTTCCCTGTCTCTCCCCCCCCCCCCCCTTCTACTGCTCCTTTCCTTCAACTCAGCCAATCAGGAAGGGGAGGCAGGTCAAAGAAGGTGAAGAGAGAAGGCTGGTCTGACCCTGAGATGGGGAGAGCATCGAAGAAGGAGCCAGCGATGGAGAAGGAGAAAGGCAGTTAAGGAGAAATGACATAGGGATGAGACATGGGGCAGGGGGGCTTAGCTGACACCTGTCCCTGGCATTTCCCTTCCCTGGACTAGGACTTAGGGGATTCTTGGCACATTTTGAGTCTCCTAACCCCCCTACCCAGTTTGGCACGGATGAGCAATGATCTCAAGGACTGAGGGAAAGCTGTCCTCAGGCCCCATGAGGTCAAACATGCATGGCTTCTTGTGTGACATGTGCCATGCCCCCCACATCCTCCCACCTCAGCGTCTCCTGCCAGGTTTGTACTCCCCCTGCCCCCGTGGCTTCTGTCACCTTGAAGTCTTTCCCCACCTGCTATGTCAGGAGGAACTGTGTGCTAGGCCTGAGGTGTGGGGGGATGCAGGGAAGAGCTGGGGAGGGCAGTAACCCTCTGCCTGGGAAACACACATCCACATGCAAGAACATGTTTCCATTCAGTGAAATGTGTCCTGGACCACGGAAGGCAAGCTTCCAGACAGTGCTGGGATGCGCAGATCTCCCTTCCCTCTAGCAGGAAATCTGTGTTGTCTATGGAAAGCGAGGGCCTCCAAGGAGAACGTGCTTCGCCTGACGTGTGCCGTGGGGGAGAAACATGCTTTTCAGGGGTGGATGGGGAGTGGGGTCCAGGGGGCCTGTGATTTCCTTGCTGCTCCCCAGGTACCACCCTGTATTGTCTGGTGGCCAAGGGTCACTGTATGTGAACACATCACTTCCAGGGTCTCCAGGGAGTGGGACGGGGAGAAGGCAAAGGCATGAGGGAACAGGATTCTGGGGTACAAATCCCCGCAGAAATTCTTCGAGGGGGCCAACATGTGTCCAGGGTGGCAAAAACAAAAACCCTCACCCTGCACATGGGAAAACACCCCCTCATGAGGAGAGCACACCTCCACGTGGGAAAAAAAAAAAAAAGACTTCCACATTTCCACACACCGAAGACTGGTGTCCCATCGGAGGGCAAAAATAGCCCCAGGTGTTCAAAGGCCCAGGTCCAGAGAAGAGAATGGGCTTCTCTGCATGGGAGAAACTCGCATCGCCGTGAGGAATCCCATGTCCACCTTAGCGCTGCTCCATGACGTTTGACAAATCCACAGGGGAAGAGCCCGGTGCCAAGTCCTCCTCCCTGCCTTCAAGTGGCCTGGGCTGGGGAGGGTTAGGGAGGTAGCCCTCCCCAAGCCGCCCCCTATACCCGAGTGGTGGAGTGGGGATGGGGTAGCGTGTTGTTGTGGCTGGTAGCAGTAGGAGGAGGTGGTGGGAAGGGCCCAAAGGGATGGAGGGAAGGAGGTGGGGGTGGGGGTGGGGGCCCCAGGCCACTGGGCAGCAGGGTCAGGGCCCCAGGGGCCAAGAGAGGCACATCGTCCGGTGCCCGGCGCAAAGCCAGGGTATAGTCGGGTGGACAGGCAGGGCGCAGGGCTTCAGCAGGGTCCGCCCCAACACCACCACCCCGCTTCAGCTGCAGTGACACCAGCTCCTCCTCTGGGGGTAGCTCTCGGCCAGCAGAGGGAAGCAGGGGACCCCCACCAGGCACACCTGAGCCTGAGCCTCCCGGTGGGCTAAGCCGCCTGCACCGAAGCTCCTGTCGCCGGTCCCGCTTGTAGTAGAGGGCGGCAAAGGCAAGGATGTTGAGGAAAAGGAGGGAAGCTCCCACGGCCACAGTGACGCTCAACTCCGTGGAATAGTCCCTCGAGTCACCAGGGAAGCGGTCATAGGCCCGTGGGCCCGGGTCAATATCAGACTCAGGTGGCAGAGTGGCAGGTGGGGGAGGCCGGCGTGTGCCGGAAGTGCCAGGGCCAGGTGTGCGAGGCGGCCAGCGTGTGGCATAGGGAGGCAGGCGAGTGGTGGTGGTGAAAAGCTCCGTGTGAAGGTTGTGCAGGTGAGGCACGAGCTCCAGCCAGAAGGCCACCTTGTTGGCGCGGTAGTTGTCGCGCACGCGTGGTTTCAAGCCGATGTGCAGGTACTGCTTTTCCTTGCTGTTGAACTTGCTCCACACCACCTCTTCAAAGCGGTTGGGCTTGGTGTGGATGAACTTGGTGTCCTGTGGCACAGGCTGGTTGGGGTCACTGTGGGCACAGGAGGGCAAGGAAAGGAGTGAGGGTGGGGCTCCTGAGGAGGGTGGAGCAGCAGGAGTGGGGAGAAGTCAGAGATTCAGAGATTCAGAGAGCTAGAAAAGGCTTGGATGTGATGGTACAGGCCTGCAATCCCAGCACTTGAGGGAAAGATTCAAGGCTTGGCCTGGGTTAAAGAGTGAGGATTTGTTTGTTTGTGTTTGTTTTTCGATTTAGTTTCTCTGTAGCTTTTGGAACCTGTCCTGGAACTAGCTCTGTAGACCAGGCTGGCCTCGAACTCACAAAGATCTGCCTGCCTCTGCCTCCCAAGTGCTGGGATTAAAGGCGTGCGCCACCACCACCTGGCTGTAAATGGTGGGATCTTACCAGAGATAGATTGATGGGGAGAGGAGAGAGGAGACACAGACAGACAGACAGACTGAGCGGGGAGAGGAAAGAAAAGACACACACACTCACACACGGGGCGGGGCGGGGGAGAAACAGGCAGACAAACCAAAACTTACGAAGACAGACCACAGAGACAGAGATGAAGTTAGAAGAGTGATCCAGTGACACAAGCTGAGACCAAGGGACAGAAATGGAGACAAAGACACGTGAGAGACAGCCAGGGACAGGAAGACAGTGCTGGTGAGAGCAGCCAAGACACAAAAGCCAAGGAGGGCAAAGAGACAGAGACACAGTGACAGACAGACCAAGGCGGTCGGACAGCGGTCACAACAGAGCCACCTAGAAAGTTCACCCTCAGAAAAGACAGGAATCTTTCCAACACCAGTGACTCCGACTCTCAGGGCCCAAACACAAGTGTTGGGAGAGCCAGGGAAGGCAAGGGGACCTCAGCCTACGGGGTGCCCCGCCCAGCCCCCCTAGGCCCTCGGGCCCTCACCCGGTCTTGGCGAAGTTGGTCCAGTAGGTCATGACCACTGCGCTGAGCATGACGTCATTCTTGGAGAAGTTGCAGGGGAAGAGATCAGTGGCGCCCACCATGGGCACACCAAAGACGTAGGGGAGCTCATCCCCATGTGCGGCATCAGCCCACTCTGGCCGGCCTTCAGCCTGGCAGTGGTGGTAAAAGGTGTAAAAGTAGACAGGGGATTGGTAGTCGGCATGCAGCTTGGCAGTGGCCACAGCTGGGGCTACCCACTGATGGTCAGTAAAGAGTGCCAGCAGGGTCTTCCGCCGCATCTCGCCATTGTCCCGGTCAGCCCAGTCCGTATACATGAACTTAATGGTCTCTCGAAGCACGTCCTTGCCCTCTGGGTACCCGTACAAGTTGTCCACAAAGTTGGAGACGGTGAAGTCAAAGGCGCTGGCAGACACGCCATCCTCACTCTCTGCAGAGTCCTCCACGAACTTGAGGCCCTCTCCCTGGTTGACACCGATGAGCATGTCATAGTTGAGGAATTCTCCTTGCTGCATGAGGATCTCGGGGTCATCAGGGACTACGTCGCCGTCCACCACAGGCCCAAAGGCAATGTGGTAGCTGGGGAGAAGGGGGCAAGGTCTCATCATCCAGTTGCTGGCCTCTCTGGACCCATGGCCTCCTAAGCCACCCCTTTGCCTAGAAGACCCTTCTCCATGACTGGAAGACTCCTAGAGTTCTTCAGGGCATTTTGGCTTCCCTGAACACCCACTGA